TATATATATATGTGTGTGTGTGTGTGTGTGTATATATATATGTGTGTGTGTATGTATATATATATATGTGTATTCAAAGCGCCGCCATTACTGTTTACAGTGTGCGCTGTGATTGGTTGAGCGGATATATCGCATTCTGCAGAGAAGAGAGACTGGCGTTTGTCGCGGTTTGGAAAAAAAGGGAGAAAACATGACAGAATAACAAGGCGGATATCGCATTTTGCGTAAAATTAAAAATTGATTTATTTGAATAAAAAACAATACTGATTTCCAATCTTTTTTTTTTTTTATGGCGTTTATCGCGTTTTGGAACCAAACTCTTCATATAGTTGACAGTTGCTAGAGTATTTTTTTTTTATGTTAATTTGTTTTTAATTATTTATATTTATTTGTATTTTGTATGTATTTATTTATTTATTTTTTAAATGTATTTATATTCTTTTTTTTTTTAAAGAAAATAATAGTGTTTCTTGTCCACCCAAAAATAAAGCAGTGCTGTTGCTTTAGAATTATAACTTTTTTAATAGATTAATTAATTTGTATTCCTTTTCATTTTTAAATATGAACATGCCATAGCAAATGTGTTGCCAGAAAATGTCCCTGTTATTAATGTTTGTTTGATATGTTTACCTTTCTTTCGTCCTCCTAGCAGATAGATTTATTTATTTGTTTGTTTATTTATTATATTTTCTATATGTTTTTATATATTTTTTCATATTTATAGATTTCATATATTTTTATTATATATAACTAGTTCTTGTTAGATGGTTGCTAGGTTGTTGCTTAAAAAGATAGCAAGCATGCCTAAAGCCTGGCTCACACTACAGGATTTTTAGCCCGATTTAGCCCCGATTTCCCCCTTCCGAGAATCGGAGCAAAAATCTTGCCGATCACCTCGATCGGTCCCGATGTTCAGAGAAGGGTCTGGCTGCAGACATGCACTTGCATTTTCAGACTTGCACTCTCAGACACCTGCACTTCCGCAACTGACATCACTTAGCACAATAGCACTATCTTAATACATTAAGCCATATTAAGTGTTTATCTACAGGAGGTTTAAAAACGCTTAATGAGAGACTTTGCGCATTGTGTTCATATTCTGCTGTTCTATGGCCACGGATTTGCGGGTCTTGTCTTTTTCTCCTACAGATGACTTGCAGGACCCTGTATGTTATAGTACTAAATTAGTTGTAATCGTTTAACCACCACAGCGTCTTGTCTCCATTGGCAACACGCACGATTCGTGTCGATTGCAAGTGATGTCGCAGGTAGCAGAGAGTGCAAGTGACTTTGTGATTTAGTTTCTTTTTTCTAGTCTTCACCACCTGGCTACTTGTGTAAAATGTTGATAGATTCTATTTAAAAAATAATAATTAATAAATTAAAGCTGCATTCCATAAGTTTTGGCTCTTTGTCGCCATCTCTGTTAGAAAACCTACAATTGCAGCTGTTTGCGAAATTATCTTCCTTGCGTGGGTTGTGCGCCGGTGTTCTGACGATTTGTGCTACCCGGTCAGATTTTGCTTCCTCCCATTAAAACAGATGGCATAATTCGATAGCGAAAAGTGCTACCTATCAGATTTTGCTTCCAGCATGATACTAATAAGGTGTGAGTCTTTATTAACATGTACACCTACCCCAACCCTAAACCTACCCTTACAGTAGGATAAATACAGTGTTGGTAGCATAATCTGATAGGTAGCATCATTTGTCAGAACACCGGCACGGCTCCAGCGCAGATTAATCTAATGTTCTGAAGAGTATGTGTGGTAGTCAGTCACCGCACCGGTGTGGATATTTATTGTACTTCGCAATCACAGATTCTAGCCTACGTCTTGGAATATGACCCAAATAAGCATTTTCACCATATATTGCCATCTGAACAAGTAAGTAACAAGTCTGCCACGTTTGTTCTGACCAATTGAGGAAAAAAGCATTACCATAAATCTCACTACCAATGGTGATTTAATCTAAAGATCCGTTAGCTCATATCACATCAAACCATGCAAATTATTATTATTGTTATACTTTATTCTCAAATTATTAATGTTATTAATGATAATTGTTATAGTGTGTATTAGCATGTAGATTTCAATTTATGTTCAGTCTAATCTCTTGTCATACCATTCGAATTTCATATTAAGAAATTATTTTAACCCAAAAAGAAAATCATGCTCCCTTCGAACTGGTTGTCTTTAAAATACAAATCTTGTGTAATCCCAGGCTATCTGTAATCACTTGTGCACATTTAAAACTGGAGTATAATTTAATTTAATTCACGTGTTAAACACATAATCCTTTCTGGATTACAATCCGCCATCAAAATGATACATTTAATTATTCCAACTGCTGTGAGAAAAGGCTATAAACGATCATCCACCGAGCAAAAATCTTGCCGATCACCTCGATCGGTCCCGATGTTCAGAGAAGGGTCTGGCTGCAGACATGCACTTGCATTTTCAGACTTGCACTCTCAGACACCTGCACTTCCGCAACTGACATCACTTAGCACAATAGCACTATCTTAATACATTAAGCCATATTAAGTGTTTATCTACAGGAGGTTTAAAAACGCTTAATGAGAGACTTTGCGCATTGTGTTCATATTCTGCTGTTCTATGGCCACGGATTTGCGGGTCTTGTCTTTTTCTCCTACAGATGACTTGCAGGACCCTGTATGTTATAGTACTAAATTAGTTGTAATCGTTTAACCACCACAGCGTCTTGTCTCCATTGGCAACACGCACGATTCGTGTCGATTGCAAGTGATGTCGCAGGTAGCAGAGAGTGCAAGTGACTTTGTGATTTAGTTTCTTTTTTCTAGTCTTCACCACCTGGCTACTTGTGTAAAATGTTGATAGATTCTATTTAAAAAATAATAATTAATAAATTAAAGCTGCATTCCATAAGTTTTGGCTCTTTGTCGCCATCTCTGTTAGAAAACCTACAATTGCAGCTGTTTGCGAAATTATCTTCCTTGCGTGGGTTGTGCGCCGGTGTTCTGACGATTTGTGCTACCCGGTCAGATTTTGCTTCCTCCCATTAAAACAGATGGCATAATTCGATAGCGAAAAGTGCTACCTATCAGATTTTGCTTCCAGCATGATACTAATAAGGTGTGAGTCTTTATTAACATGTACACCTACCCCAACCCTAAACCTACCCTTACAGTAGGATAAATACAGTGTTGGTAGCATAATCTGATAGGTAGCATCATTTGTCAGAACACCGGCACGGCTCCAGCGCAGATTAATCTAATGTTCTGAAGAGTATGTGTGGTAGTCAGTCACCGCACCGGTGTGGATATTTATTGTACTTCGCAATCACAGATTCTAGCCTACGTCTTGGAATATGACCCAAATAAGCATTTTCACCATATATTGCCATCTGAACAAGTAAGTAACAAGTCTGCCACGTTTGTTCTGACCAATTGAGGAAAAAAGCATTACCATAAATCTCACTACCAATGGTGATTTAATCTAAAGATCCGTTAGCTCATATCACATCAAACCATGCAAATTATTATTATTGTTATACTTTATTCTCAAATTATTAATGTTATTAATGATAATTGTTATAGTGTGTATTAGCATGTAGATTTCAATTTATGTTCAGTCTAATCTCTTGTCATACCATTCGAATTTCATATTAAGAAATTATTTTAACCCAAAAAGAAAATCATGCTCCCTTCGAACTGGTTGTCTTTAAAATACAAATCTTGTGTAATCCCAGGCTATCTGTAATCATTTGTGCACATTTAAAACTGGAGTATAATTTAATTTAATTCACGTGTTAAACACATAATCCTTTCTGGATTACAATCCGCCATCAAAATGATACATTTAATTATTCCAACTGCTGTGAGAAAAGGCTATAAACGATCATCCACCTGCAGCATCCTCACATGCGATAGCCTAGTAGCCGGAACAACTTCTTTATGTTTACAGAAGTGACGTAATGACGCAGCGGCATGCTCGAGTTTCCCGCGAAAACCTACCCGTACCACTCAAATTAGAAAACATTATTACAAAATAACCGTTGTGAATCAGGCTAAAGTAAGGCGATAGTTTTGAACACTGGCTGATTATGTACTTGCTCAAATATTGATTTTGGATCATTTTTAACCAAAAAAAGTTACGGACTGCAGCTTTAAATAAAAGAAAAAAAGACTGCAAGTGACGTCACTTGCAGAAGTGCAGGTGTCTGAGAGTGCAAGTCTGAAAATGCAAGTTCATGTCTGCAGCCAGACCCTATTGGGATGTTCGGTACTGATTATCTGGTAATGTGAGGCGTTCACAGATCGAATCTTGCTACTCCCGATGTGCTCGCACACAAATCGGTGCCGTCCCAATCATATCAAACATGTTTGATATTTAGGATTTAAATCGGGATGATGATGGCTATATGACTACGTCAGTACTTTCACAATAGCCAATGCGTGTCCACAAAACTGCTGCTGCTGCAAATCTTGTAGTGTGTGCATTCGAGGGAAGATAGTCTGCAAAGATTCTCCTTATGTGTGTGCTGCAACCAGATTTCATAATTGGTTAGGATTTTAAAACTCCTGTAGTGTGAGCCAGGCTTTAGTAAATGTCTTGCCAAAGAGGTGCCTATTATTAATGTTTCCTTGATATGTTTTTCTGTCGTCCTCCAGCAGGGCGGCGATAAGAACTCCAGCCACTCCAGCAGTAACACTCTGTCCAGCAACGGCTCCAGTAGTAACAGTGATGAGAAGCACTTTGGCTCCGGGGACCTGATGGATCCAGAGATGCTGGGTCTCACCTACATTAAAGGAGCCTCCACAGACAGCGGCATTGACACCGCGCCCTGTAGCATGACCCCGGGGGTCACCGGTGTGTCTGTTTCCCGCGTCATGCTCCAGGGCCCTGGGGCATCTGATCCGGGACACCCGTGGACACCGGAGCTGACAGAAGAAGGGTCCACGGAGGAGGACCATGGCAGGTTGTACCTTCCGCAGAGCTACGCCGCGGCTCTGGCGGCCGGACATGCGCCCGTGGACGGGAGTATGGGAGACCTGAGCGAGAACTCATCTCATTCTAGGTGAGCAAAAGAGAGAGAGCTGATGCTTATGAGAATATAAATAGGTCAGATTTGTATCTTGAGGTTAAATGGATCGAGCATTTCCTGGTTGATTATGTTCAGATAATGTTTTTACCAACATAATTGATTTGCCTGCTGGCTGGATTTCCACCGTGGAATGCAAACAGCAGAATACCTGCGCTTCCCACTCTGCCATCAGTTATTGTTTATAAATATGTGCATATTCTTCCAGTTACACACAAACAAACGCACAATTAATTGGGTACAGCTGTTTAAGTGTTTAAGTATTTTGCCTATTTTGACATGTTACATATCCAGCTGTGTGTATTCTCTTGGAGAGAGAGAAATGCTGCTTTTTAGTAACAGGTCTGCAGGCATTTTACATCTAAATTACTAACATTGACTTGTGTCCACATTTTGAAGATGCTAAAAGACTCTATTGCTCATTTAGGCTACATTTATTTGATCAAAAATACAGTAAAAACATTAATATTGTACAATATTATTACAGTTCCAAAAGCTGTTTTCTGTGTGAATATACTGAGTGTTAAAATGTAATTTATTTCTGTGATCAAAGCTGAATTTTCAGCATCATTACTCCAATCTTCAGTGTCACATGATCCTTCAGAAATCATTCTAATATGATGATTTGCTGCACAAGAAACATTTCTGATTATTATCAGTGTTTAAAACAGTTGTGCTGCTACAGATTTTTGTGGATTTTTCAGGATTGCTTGATGAATAGAAAAATCAAAAGAACAGCATTTATTTGAAATAGAAATCTTCCTATTTTAAATGTCTTTGTCATTTTCGATCAGTTTAATGCGTCCTTTCTGAATAAAAGTATTAATTTATTTAACAAAAAAAATCTTACTGACCTCAAACGCACAGCTGAAAAAATAATTCCAGTGATTCCAGGTCAATTAAGCTTGTTTCCAAGTAACAGATCCTATCCCTTTTTACATCATGGAGAAGAAAGTTACATTGTCTTAATTTGCATTGAAGTCATTATTTGCAATGTAGAATAATTGTGGGATTTGTGTAATTGAGATAACATAGGTTAATAAAAAAATGTTTTTAAAGGGAAAAAAATGTATGGTTTTGTGTATTGCACTTAAAAGTAGACATATAGGGTTATTTTCCATCCATACAGTGAAACTGCTTTGTTTTGCACTGCAGAGCAATTCAGGAAAATCATTAGCAAAATTGTTAAATTGCCTTCTATTATGTTCAGAGTGTTCTTGTGTTCTTCAGAACCAACTGTCTTCAACTGCATGGATAAGAGAGGTTTCAAAAGTACACAACTTTAAGGAGTATTATTAGAGCTGCTTATGTAAACTAAACACTTGTAAGCATAGACTGTTACATAAAAGGCAGAAAAATGGTAAGAAGTCTCTTTGAGATAGACCGGAGAGAATGGCAGCTGTCGTGCTGTTGTAGAAAGGTCAGGGTCCTGCTCATAGGCATGTTGTCAGTTCTGATGTGTGTGTTTTTGAGTGAATGTTTGTCTTGTGAATACATTTCAAAAGATGCCCGAAGAGCGCTGTCAATGCAGAATTCACCTACTGTTTCCTAAACGGAAGCCCAAAGTATCATTCATAGGACCCGGCTGCATTGTATCGCTATAATATCGCTTTAAAGTGCCCCTATTGTGCAATTTTTAAGGTTCCTAATATTGTTTTGGAGTCAATAGCTTTAAATGCATGCAAGGTCAAAAAAACGCTTTCACTTTCTCAAAATATGCATTTAATATCACCACATTTTCCAATGATTCTCAAACTGTTCGTTCGAAGCCGTTCTCTCTAAACCCCTCCTTTCCATGAGCCTACTCTGCTCTGATTGGTCAAATGGCCCAGTCTGTTGTGATTGGTCTACTGCAGTGGTTCCCAAACCTGTCCTGGAGGGCCCCCTGCCCTGCACCTTTTGTCTCCCTTATCTAACACAGCTGATTCCACTCATCAGCTCGTTAGTAGAGACTGCAAGAACTAAATTGGGTGTGCCTGATTAGGGAGACATACAAAATGTGCAGGGCAGGGGGTCCTCCAGGACAGGTTTGGGAACCACTGGTCTACTGCATACAGCGCATGTCGGAAACGATACACCCATTTGTACTTCGCAATCACAGATTCTAGCCTACGTCTTGGAATATGACCCAAATAAGCATTTTCACCATATATTGCCATCTGAACAAGTAAGTAACAAGTCTGCCACGTTTGTTCTGACCAATTGAGGAAAAAAGCATTACCATAAATCTCACTACCAATGGTGATTTAATCTAAAGATCCGTTAGCTCATATCACATCAAACCATGCAAATTATTATTATTGTTATACTTTATTCTCAAATTATTAATGTTATTAATGATAATTGTTATAGTGTGTATTAGCATGTAGATTTCAATTTATGTTCAGTCTAATCTCTTGTCATACCATTCGAATTTCATATTAAGAAATTATTTTAACCCAAAAAGAAAATCATGCTCCCTTCGAACTGGTTGTCTTTAAAATACAAATCTTGTGTAATCCCAGGCTATCTGTAATCATTTGTGCACATTTAAAACTGGAGTATAATTTAATTTAATTCACGTGTTAAACACATAATCCTTTCTGGATTACAATCCGCCATCAAAATGATACATTTAATTATTCCAACTGCTGTGAGAAAAGGCTATAAACGATCATCCACCTGCAGCATCCTCACATGCGATAGCCTAGTAGCCGGAACAACTTCTTTATGTTTACAGAAGTGACGTAATGACGCAGCGGCATGCTCGAGTTTCCCGCGAAAACCTACCCGTACCACTCAAATTAGAAAACATTATTACAAAATAACCGTTGTGAATCAGGCTAAAGTAAGGCGATAGTTTTGAACACTGGCTGATTATGTACTTGCTCAAATATTGATTTTGGATCATTTTTAACCAAAAAAAGTTACGGACTGCAGCTTTAAATAAAAGAAAAAAAGACTGCAAGTGACGTCACTTGCAGAAGTGCAGGTGTCTGAGAGTGCAAGTCTGAAAATGCAAGTTCATGTCTGCAGCCAGACCCTATTGGGATGTTCGGTACTGATTATCTGGTAATGTGAGGCGTTCACAGATCGAATCTTGCTACTCCCGATGTGCTCGCACACAAATCGGTGCCGTCCCAATCATATCAAACATGTTTGATATTTAGGATTTAAATCGGGATGATGATGGCTATATGACTACGTCAGTACTTTCACAATAGCCAATGCGTGTCCACAAAACTGCTGCTGCTGCAAATCTTGTAGTGTGTGCATTCGAGGGAAGATAGTCTGCAAAGATTCTCCTTATGTGTGTGCTGCAACCAACCGCACCGGTGTGGATATTTATTGTACTTCGCAATCACAGATTCTAGCCTACGTCTTGGAATATGACCCAAATAAGCATTTTCACCATATATTGCCATCTGAACAAGTAAGTAACAAGTCTGCCACGTTTGTTCTGACCAATTGAGGAAAAAAGCATTACCATAAATCTCACTACCAATGGTGATTTAATCTAAAGATCCGTTAGCTCATATCACATCAAACCATGCAAATTATTATTATTGTTATACTTTATTCTCAAATTATTAATGTTATTAATGATAATTGTTATAGTGTGTATTAGCATGTAGATTTCAATTTATGTTCAGTCTAATCTCTTGTCATACCATTCGAATTTCATATTAAGAAATTATTTTAACCCAAAAAGAAAATCATGCTCCCTTCGAACTGGTTGTCTTTAAAATACAAATCTTGTGTAATCCCAGGCTATCTGTAATCATTTGTGCACATTTAAAACTGGAGTATAATTTAATTTAATTCACGTGTTAAACACATAATCCTTTCTGGATTACAATCCGCCATCAAAATGATACATTTAATTATTCCAACTGCTGTGAGAAAAGGCTATAAACGATCATCCACCTGCAGCATCCTCACATGCGATAGCCTAGTAGCCGGAACAACTTCTTTATGTTTACAGAAGTGACGTAATGACGCAGCGGCATGCTCGAGTTTCCCGCGAAAACCTACCCGTACCACTCAAATTAGAAAACATTATTACAAAATAACCGTTGTGAATCAGGCTAAAGTAAGGCGATAGTTTTGAACACTGGCTGATTATGTACTTGCTCAAATATTGATTTTGGATCATTTTTAACCAAAAAAAGTTACGGACTGCAGCTTTAAATAAAAGAAAAAAAGACTGCAAGTGACGTCACTTGCAGAAGTGCAGGTGTCTGAGAGTGCAAGTCTGAAAATGCAAGTTCATGTCTGCAGCCAGACCCTATTGGGATGTTCGGTACTGATTATCTGGTAATGTGAGGCGTTCACAGATCGAATCTTGCTACTCCCGATGTGCTCGCACACAAATCGGTGCCGTCCCAATCATATCAAACATGTTTGATATTTAGGATTTAAATCGGGATGATGATGGCTATATGACTACGTCAGTACTTTCACAATAGCCAATGCGTGTCCACAAAACTGCTGCTGCTGCAAATCTTGTAGTGTGTGCATTCGAGGGAAGATAGTCTGCAAAGATTCTCCTTATGTGTGTGCTGCAACCAGATTTCATAATTGGTTAGGATTTTAAAACTCCTGTAGTGTGAGCCAGGCTTTAGTAAATGTCTTGCCAAAGAGGTGCCTATTATTAATGTTTCCTTGATATGTTTTTCTGTCGTCCTCCAGCAGGGTGGCGATAAGAACTCCAGCCACTCCAGCAGTAACACTCTGTCCAGCAACGGCTCCAGTAGTAACAGTGATGAGAAGCACTTTGGCTCCGGGGACCTGATGGATCCAGAGATGCTGGGTCTCACCTACATTAAAGGAGCCTCCACAGACAGCGGCATTGACACCGCGCCCTGTAGCATGACCCCGGGGGTCACCGGTGTGTCTGTTTCCCGCGTCATGCTCCAGGGCCCTGGGGCATCTGATCCGGGACACCCGTGGACACCGGAGCTGACAGAAGAAGGGTCCACGGAGGAGGACCATGGCAGGTTGTACCTTCCGCAGAGCTACGCCGCGGCTCTGGCCGCCGGACATGCGCCCGTGGACGGGAGTATGGGAGACCTGAGCGAGAACTCATCTCATTCTAGGTGAGCAAAAGAGAGAGAGCTGATGCTTATGAGAATATAAATAGGTCAGATTTGTATCTTGAGGTTAAATGGATCGAGCATTTCCTGGTTGATTATGTTCAGATAATGTTTTTACCAACATGATTGATTTGCCTGCTGGCTGGATTTCCACCGTGGAATGCAAACAGCAGAATACCTGCGCTTCCCACTCTGCCATCAGTTATTGTTTATAAATATGTGCATATTCTTCCAGTTACACACAAACAAACGCACAATTAATTGGGTACAGCTGTTTAAGTGTTTAAGTATTTTGCCTATTTTGACATGTTACATATCCAGCTGTGTGTATTCTCTTGGAGAGAGAGAAAGTAGTTTTTAGTAACAGGTCTGCAGGCATTTTACATCTAAATTACTAACATTGACTTGTGTCCACATTTTGAAGATGCTAAAAGACTCTATTGCTCATTTAGGCTACATTTATTTGATCAAAAATACAGTAAAAACATTAATATTGTACAATATTATTACAGTTCCAAAAGCTGTTTTCTGTGTGAATATACTGAGTGTTAAAATGTAATTTATTCCTGTGATCAAAGCTGAATTTTCAGCATCATTACTCCAATCTTCAGTGTCACATGATCCTTCAGAAATCATTCTAATATGATGATTTGCTGCACAAGAAACATTTCTGATTATTATCAGTGTTTAAAACAGTTGTGCTGCTACAGATTTTTGTGGATTTTTCAGGATTGCTTGATGAATAGAAAAATCAAAAGAACAGCATTTATTTGAAATAGAAATCTTCCTATTTTAAATGTCTTTGTCATTTTCGATCAGTTTAATGCGTCCTTTCTGAATAAAAGTATTAATTTATTTAACAAAAAAAATCTTACTGACCTCAAACGCACAGCTGAAAAAATAATTCCAGTGATTCCAGGTCAATTAAGCTTGTTTCCAAGTAACAGATCCTATCCCTTTTTACATCATGGAGAAGAAAGTTACATTGTCTTAATTTGCATTGAAGTCATTATTTGCAATGTAGAATAATTGTGGGATTTGTGTAATTGAGATAACATAGGTTAATAAAAAAATGTTTTTAAAGGGAAAAAAATGTATGGTTTTGTGTATTGCACTTAAAAGTAGACATATAGGGTTATTTTCCATCCATACAGTGAAACTGCTTTGTTTTGCACTGCAGAGCAATTCAGGAAAATCATTAGCAAAATTGTTAAATTGCCTTCTATTATGTTCAGAGTGTTCTTGTGTTCTTCAGAACCAACTGTCTTCAACTGCATGGATAAGAGAGGTTTCAAAAGTACACAACTTTAAGGAGTATTATTAGAGCTGCTTATGTAAACTAAACACTTGTAAGCATAGACTGTTACATAAAAGGCAGAAAAATGGTAAGAAGTCTCTTTGAGATAGACCGGAGAGAATGGCAGCTGTCGTGCTGTTGTAGAAAGGTCAGGGTCCTGCTCATAGGCATGTTGTCAGTTCTGATGTGTGTGTTTTTGAGTGAATGTTTGTCTTGTGAATACATTTCAAAAGATGCCCGAAGAGCGCTGTCAATGCAGAATTCACCTACTGTTTCCTAAACGGAAGCCCAAAGTATCATTCATAGGACCCGGCTGCATTGTATCGCTATAATATCGCTTTAAAGTGCCCCTATTGTGCAATTTTTAAGGTTCCTAATATTGTTTTGGAGTCAATAGCTTTAAATGCATGCAAGGTCAAAAAAACGCTTTCACTTTCTCAAAATATGCATTTAATATCACCACATTTTCCAATGATTCTCAAACTGTTCGTTCGAAGCCGTTCTCTCTAAACCCCTCCTTTCCATGAGCCTACTCTGCTCTGATTGGTCAAATGGCCCAGTCTGTTGTGATTGGTCTACTGCAGTGGTTCCCAAACCTGTCCTGGAGGGCCCCCTGCCCTGCACCTTTTGTCTCCCTTATCTAACACAGCTGATTCCACTCATCAGCTCGTTAGTAGAGACTGCAAGAACTAAATTGGGTGTGCCTGATTAGGGAGACATACAAAATGTGCAGGGCAGGGGGTCCTCCAGGACAGGTTTGGGAACCACTGGTCTACTGCATACAGCGCATGTCGGAAACGATACACCCATTGCCACAGTTCCGTATTTTGAACGCTTGATAGAAAATATAAACATCTATTATTTATCATACTTACAGTTTGTGATTGAGTGAAGCTAGCTGGTCCAAATAAACTGGGTGATGAGCCATCTTTCAAGAGCAAGCGTTTTGTAAATCACGCATTGAACTCCCCAAGAGAAGCAGTCTTCATTAAAATGACGGTAACTTTTACGGTAAAATTTTAACCACTGATTCTTTTGGAAGTGAAAATAAAACAAATTTACTTTCACAGCGTAGGACACAGCGTCTTCTCAACATGATGTTAACCACTTGAACAAGCTACAGTGTTTGTCGAGTTTCCCGCGAAAACCTACCCGTACCACTCAAATTAGAAAACATTATTACAAAATAACCGTTGTGAATCAGGCTAAAGTAAGGCGATAGTTTTGAACACTGGCTGATTATGTACTTGCTCAAATATTGATTTTGGATCATTTTTAACCAAAAAAAGTTACGGACTGCAGCTTTAAATAAAAGAAAAAAAGACTGCAAGTGACGTCACTTGCAGAAGTGCAGGTGTCTGAGAGTGCAAGTCTGAAAATGCAAGTTCATGTCTGCAGCCAGACCCTATTGGGATGTTCGGTACTGATTATCTGGTAATGTGAGGCGTTCACAGATCGAATCTTGCTACTCCCGATGTGCTCGCACACAAATCGGTGCCGTCCCAATCATATCAAACATGTTTGATATTTAGGATTTAAATCGGGATGATGATGGCTATATGACTACGTCAGTACTTTCACAATAGCCAATGCGTGTCCACAAAACTGCTGCTGCTGCAAATCTTGTAGTGTGTGCATTCGAGGGAAGATAGTCTGCAAAGATTCTCCTTATGTGTGTGCTGCAACCAGATTTCATAATTGGTTAGGATTTTAAAACTCCTGTAGTGTGAGCCAGGCTTTAGTAAATGTCTTGCCAAAGAGGTGCCTATTATTAATGTTTCCTTGATATGTTTTTCTGTCGTCCTCCAGCAGGGTGGCGATAAGAACTCCAGCCACTCCAGCAGTAACACTCTGTCCAGCAACGGCTCCAGTAGTAACAGTGATGAGAAGCACTTTGGCTCCGGGGACCTGATGGATCCAGAGATGCTGGGTCTCACCTACATTAAAGGAGCCTCCACAGACAGCGGCATTGACACCGCGCCCTGTAGCATGACCCCGGGGGTCACCGGTGTGTCTGTTTCCCGCGTCATGCTCCAGGGCCCTGGGGCATCTGATCCGGGACACCCGTGGACACCGGAGCTGACAGAAGAAGGGTCCACGGAGGAGGACCATGGCAGGTTGTACCTTCCGCAGAGCTACGCCGCGGCTCTGGCCGCCGGACATGCGCCCGTGGACGGGAGTATGGGAGACCTGAGCGAGAACTCATCTCATTCTAGGTGAGCAAAAGAGAGAGAGCTGATGCTTATGAGAATATAAATAGGTCAGATTTGTATCTTGAGGTTAAATGGATCGAGCATTTCCTGGTTGATTATGTTCAGATAATGTTTTTACCAACATAATTGATTTGCCTGCTGGCTGGATTTCCACCGTGGAATGCAAACAGCAGAATACCTGCGCTTCCCACTCTGCCATCAGTTATTGTTTATAAATATGTGCATATTCTTCCAGTTACACACAAACAAACGCACAATTAATTGGGTACAGCTGTTTAAGTGTTTAAGTATTTTGCCTATTTTGACATGTTACATATCCAGCTGTGTGTATTCTCTTGGAGAGAGAGAAATGCTGCTTTTTAGTAACAGGTCTGCAGGCATTTTACATCTAAATTACTAACATTGACTTGTGTCCACATTTTGAAGATGCTAAAAGACTCTATTGCTCATTTAGGCTACATTTATTTGATCAAAAATACAGTAAAAACATTAATATTGTACAATATTATTACAGTTCCAAAAGCTGTTTTCTGTGTGAATATACTGAGTGTTAAAATGTAATTTATTCCTGTGATCAAAGCTGAATTTTCAGCATCATTACTCCAATCTTCAGTGTCACATGATCCTTCAGAAATCATTCTAATATGATGATTTGCTGCACAAGAAACATTTCTGATTATTATCAGTGTTTAAAACAGTTGTGCTGCTACAGATTTTTGTGGATTTTTCAGGATTGCTTGATGAATAGAAAAATCAAAAGAACAGCATTTATTTGAAATAGAAATCTTCCTATTTTAAATGTCTTTGTCATTTTCGATCAGTTTAATGCGTCCTTTCTGAATAAAAGTATTAATTTATTTAACAAAAAAAATCTTACTGACCTCAAACGCACAGCTGAAAAAATAATTCCAGTGATTCCAGGTCAATTAAGCTTGTTTCCAAGTAACAGATCCTATCCCTTTTTACATCATGGAGAAGAAAGTTACATTGTCTTAATTTGCATTGAAGTCATTATTTGCAATGTAGAATAATTGTGGGATTTGTGTAATTGAGATAACATAGGTTAATAAAAAAATGTTTTTAAAGGGAAAAAAATGTATGGTTTTGTGTATTGCACTTAAAAGTAGACATATAGGGTTATTTTCCATCCATACAGTGAAACTGCTTTGTTTTGCACTGCAGAGCAATTCAGGAAAATCATTAGCAAAATTGTTAAATTGCCTTCTATTATGTTCAGAGTGTTCTTGTGTTCTTCAGAACCAACTGTCTTCAACTGCATGGATAAGAGAGGTTTCAAAAGTACACAACTTTAAGGAGTATTATTAGAGCTGCTTATGTAAACTAAACACTTGTAAGCATAGACTGTTACATAAAAGGCAGAAAAATGGTAAGAAGTCTCTTTGAGATAGACCGGAGAGAATGGCAGCTGTCGTGCTGTTGTAGAAAGGTCAGGGTCCTGCTCATAGGCATGTTGTCAGTTCTGATGTGTGTGTTTTTGAGTGAATGTTTGTCTTGTGAATACATTTCAAAAGATGCCCGAAGAGCGCTGTCAATGCAGAATTCACCTACTGTTTCCTAAACGGAAGCCCAAAGTATCATTCATAGGACCCGGCTGCATTGTATCGCTATAATATCGCTTTAAAGTGCCCCTATTGTGCAATTTTTAAGGTTCCTAATATTGTTTTGGAGTCAATAGCTTTAAATGCATGCAAGGTCAAAAAAACGCTTTCACTTTCTCAAAATATGCATTTAATATCACCACATTTTCCAATGATTCTCAAACTGTTCGTTCGAAGCCGTTCTCTCTAAACCCCTCCTTTCCATGAGCCTACTCTGCTCTGATTGGTCAAATGGCCCAGTCTGTTGTGATTGGTCTACTGCAGTGGTTCCCAAACCTGTCCTGGAGGGCCCCCTGCCCTGCACCTTTTGTCTCCCTTATCTAACACAGCTGATTCCACTCATCAGCTCGTTAGTAGAGACTGCAAGAACTAAATTGGGTGTGCCTGATTAGGGAGACATACAAAATGTGCAGGGCAGGGGGTCCTCCAGGACAGGTTTGGGAACCACTGGTCTACTGCATACAGCGCATGTCGGAAACGATACACCCATTGCCACAGTTCCGTATTTTGAACGCTTGATAGAAAATATAAACATCTATTATTTATCATACTTACAGTTTGTGATTGAGTGAAGCTAGCTGGTCCAAATAAACTGGGTGATGAGCCATCTTTCAAGAGCAAGCGTTTTGTAAATCACGCATTGAACTCCCCAAGAGAAGCAGTCGTCATTAAAATGACGGTAACTTTTACGGTAAAATTTTAACCACTGATTCTTTTGGAAGTGAAAATAAAACAAATTTACTTTCACAGCGTAGGACACAGCGTCTTCTCAACATGATGTTAACCACTTGAACAAGCTACAGTGTTTGAGGGTGGATCAAGGTGTTCGCAGCCGGCCAATGTAGAACATAGGCGGGCATTATGCAAATGTGTTACCCCATTGCGGAAGTGGGATTTGAATTACTGATGACTCGATTCAGAGTCTATTCTCTCTTTTGGGAGACAACAACTTTATTTATTGTGCACTTTTTGGCTTTATAGCTTTGCAGATTGTTTGCATTCACATATAGCTATGTTACACATTGCATGAAAGGCAATATTCGAAATGGCATATAATAGGGGCACTTTAAAGGTGTTTTCAGACCTGTAGATAATTTGCTTTGCTCCAAAATAAGGACTTACATTGTTACAATGTTGTATTTTCTTCTTGGTTCAGCTTGCTTTTACAGTAAGACATACCAAAATGTGTTTATGCAAGTCACGTGCGAGTAAAACCGCATTCTAGAGCTGCACGATTCTGGATAAATTGAGAATCACGATTTTTCTGTTTCAAATAGAGATCACGATTCTTCCACAATTCTGAACTAAGCAAAATAACATAATTTACTAGAGGCTTTGACAAAATATTAATTGCCTCATTCTATTAAAAAATGTTTAACTAATTTGAATAATTAAAAAAAAAAGTTTCAATGAATGATTCAATTACTCACTTTTTTCTATTACTGAATGAATCAGCGTTTTTTAACAAATCTCTTGAATGAATGATTCAATGACACATTTTTTAACAGTCATTTGTTGAAACAATGTAATCAACGTTGAAATCATCAAATGTTGTTTGAACTGCCATTTTGAAAAGAAAATGACTTTCAAAAGTAGATTTGCTCCATTTTGATCGCTACCATAGACATCCGAACTATAAACTTTTATCCCAGTACTTCTGTGATAATATGAATGATTGTAAGGCAGAAATAATACTGTGTGGTTGAAAAGACTGTGAAGCTGTTTCATAGCTAAACATAACGGCTCTCTCTGTGATTTGAATGTTCCGGTATGACTTTGTCAAAGGTTTAATAGGTACAGACGAATCGTTGTCATTTGGAAATAAGATCGCATGGGTGTTTGAATCGAGACGCAATCTTTTAACAATTAATTGTGCAGCTCTACTGCACTCTCATCGGTCCTTTCCTGTTTAGGTTCACTCGTTCAGTTCTGACCCTGAAATGAACCAGGTGTGAAAACTCCCTAAAAATGTCACTGGGCACATTTGTAAAGTATTTCCCTTCTTTACCTAACCACCGGTGCTTAAATTAAACAGTACAGAAAGTCATTTTCATGTTGTTACGATGGTTGGGTCTCACGTTCCTCTATCCCATGTGCGCTGGCCAGTGGCTCCCACCACTCCGGCAGCCCCTTACCCCACAGCTTCAAGCACATGTCCTCTCCAGAACCTTCCAGAACCCAGGCAGTCCCCCACAGTAGCCAGGAGCCAGGGCCCAGCACTGATGTGCACACACAAAGCCGTAGGAGATCAGATGACAAACCGATTCCGGACGAGCCCCCGATTCAGTCCGAGTGTGTGGATGTGTGGAATGGGATGCATCTTCTGGTATGATTGGTTTATTCGGGAGTTAATTGTTTGGGCCACTAAAAGCAACATTAAGACGCTTAATTTGAGAGTTATTTGTTATTTAATTTAATTTACCATTTGCCATTACCACATACTCAGGACCTCGAAATCTCTATAGAGCGTGTGAAGCACTCAAGTAAAACTATGTCTAAAAAGAGTTGTATTGTAATTTCCTAATGCGAACAATTAGGTTGGGCCTTAGATTTGATTCAATTTAATCTTGCCCTCCAAGCTTGTGCCAGTGTGACTCATTAAGTGTCTGGTTTAAAAGGCCAGGAGAGACCAATCTATTCCGAGGCTGAATTTAGCCAGCGGCGAAGGTCTCTCACTTCTTTTTATCCAATTAATCTCTCCGCTGGCACAATCATCAGGCAATTCCAGTTTTCAAGGACGAAAAACCGTCTGCAATAGATTACAGATCAAAGTGAAATTTTCCTCTTATCGATCAGAGTATCACCAAGGCCTGGAAAGAACCATCAGTAGATTAACAGTGCTTGATCGAAGTGAGTTCTGTGCCTAATCAGCTCTGTAAACGTGCAGACGTAATATACTTGGCATGTGTCTCTTCTCATTATTGATCTGTATCCTGATGTTCGATCCCTGTGGACTGTACTATTCTACACAGAAGATCGGTGTTGGCCACTGGACTCTGAACGGATCCTGGAGAGGAAGCGATTGAGCCACCTCTGCTTTTCCTTTAATATTCTAGCTCTGCTTCTAGAGAGTCATGGTGTAGATCTTTTTAGATCTTTTTATTTGTAGATCATGATGATGTCAATGAGAAAAAGACTGGTATTCATTCATGTTGGATGCATTTAGGTAATCCATCTATCTATCTTTCGTTTTATTGATCTGTATCTATCTATCTATCTATCTATCTATCTATCTATCTATCTATCTATCTATTAGGGCTGCACAATTAATCAAATTTCTAATCGCAATTACAATTATGGATGTCACAATTACGTAATCGTTCAAAGCGGCAATTAATCGTTCAAAGTCCACTTATGTTATTCTGCACACTTAATATGCGTTTTTTCTTTCTACATTTTATCTTAAGGGTTTTTCCATTGTTTTAATTTTAGTTTTAGTATAACATTATAATACCATTCATATTTTTACTTTTTTTATAATTTAAAGAATAAATCAATTCGATGTGTATGACATATTGACATATTGACATTTGAGGCTTAAAACTATTGAAAAGCACAACGTTTTTCAGTTAGAGTGTTTTCAGCTTGTTTATTTTCATATAACAATACGGCATGCAGTTGGTAATCAAACAATGGTAGAAACATCATTCAATGTAAATTGTGATAATGGTAATTAATAATCGCAATTACAATTTCAAGGGAATAATCGACAATTATGATTTTTGTCATAATCGTGCAGCCCTACTATCTATCTATCTATCTATCTATCTATCTGTCTGTCTGTCTGTCTGTCTGTCTGTCTGTCTGTCGTTATATCTGTTGTTCTATATTCATTTAATCAAATTTCAGTTTAGTTGCAAATTGCAGTTATATGAATTTGAATATCAGCTTATTTTAATTATATTTCCTTACATTCAAATTCAAATGACACATTCCGCTTGCTGTTTTGTAAATAATGTTTTTGATCTAAAATGCAACAAACTCAGTTCGGGTTCGTCTGTAATTATTATAATTTGACTTATTTGACAGCAGTAGATGTCTCTGTTTTGTCCACGTTTCGACAGCAAGTGTGTAATTGTGCTCTGAATAAAACTCTCTCAGTTCCATCTCTTCACTAATGTCTTTTATTCAGTGAAAGTTTCCAGTTAAACTCTTCTTAGATTGATGGTGCGGCTGAGCTGCTTTCCCCCAGCTGTTATGAAAGAAACCGTGTAATGCAGTTAGCACCTCCTTTCCTTGTTTATTCCACCTCAGCCTTTATTTCACGTTACGTAACAAAGCCTCTAGACAAATCATCCAATATCGCTCGCATTTATTGTGCCTGCTAATTAAGCTTTTTTCCCCGCTTGCAGTGCGGCTTGACACTGTAAATTGCAGCTGCTAACTTTCTTCTCTGTTTCTTCTACTTTCCTCGGCTTCTTTTGCTCAGTGGAGCCGAGAGCTTGTTGTCTTTCCTTCTGAAGGCTCTAGCCGAGCGGTCCAGGTACATATGCACACCCCCACTGTGTATGTTTGTGCTCACGCCGTTAGTGAACTTTCCCCTTTGACCCCTGACCTTTCTGTTCTCCTCACTGAGTGTAAATGTCTGGAGTTGAAATTCTCCCTGCTGTGCCGCGCCGACTCTCCTCTCCTTGCTCACCTCGACAGTTTCTGTCAGACTCAGACACAGTTGCTCATAGACACATACACCAGTAAAGGCCAATGGGTCACTAAGTGTGTTAAATCCGCGGCGCTAGTGCCAGACAGCTGTGATGACATTCTCCATCGCCTGCGGGCTTTGAGTGAGTTTTAATACGTTCTCTTCACCATTGCACTTGTTTGGATTTTTGCTGCATTGCTCAGTTGTTGTTTTTTTTCAGAGACTAAAAACATAAAAGTTGACCGCATAAGTCTAAATGTGACCTTCTCACAATATTAATTAACTCACCATCAGTATTTACACACTCGCTGAGTATTTTTTAACTTGGCTGCAGCTTGTATATTGGTAACCTTTACATTTCGTCTATTATTTACAAGGACATTCTAGAAGAAATGAAGCTGTGCATGGAAATGTCTGTCATTGTTTTCCCTGTGGATGTCTGTCAGCCTGAGGCTGAGCATGATTCTGGGTCTGTAATAGAGTGTTGAATACAGCAGGTTTAACCATAATGTATACTAGTACATTTCAGGTTTTCTTCCAGTTTTATATACAAAAAGTTTAAATATTAATACAAAAAATTTATTGTATTGTTATTATTTACTTATTGCATTTAAGTGATATTTAATTTATTTATTTTAAAAAGTTTCAAATGTTATTGCTACTCTTCTGTTTATTTATTTTTTATTTTTTTGGTATATATTATACTATTTACATTACTTTTGTAATTATTTGCTTTTCATTATTAGATTTCATGATTATTTGCATATTTATATACTGTATATATATACACACACACAGACACATAAAAATATACATAGAAAATTATCATATTAATTTTATTGTTATTATTTACTTATTGAATTTAAGTTTTACTTGTTTCGTTTACTATTTATTTTTAAAAATTCATAAACTTTTGTTTGTTTCATGATTTTTATTTTATCTCCTAGTATTGTACTGTTCTTGTACTTTGGTATAACACTGTTCTATCAGTTGCTAGATCAGTGTCTTGCTCCAGATACTGTCGACAGAGTTTAACTTGTATTTAATATGTGATTTCTTCTGTAGTTCAGGTTTAGTTTTAGCCTGTGTGTGTATTTGTGTGTGCATGCTGTCCGTCAGCTATATAGCACACTGCCAAGTGAGTCACACACGCACACAAACACACACACACACGCACACACACTGTGTGAGCTGCACACAGCAGCATCAAGGTCACATGGCCCCGTCACCATGTCTCCCCTTCCTCCTCTTCACCCGCTGAAAGGATGTGTGACAAACGCTCGTGAGAATTGTCAGCATTAGCTCGTAATGTAGTGTTCAGTGTGATACTGTGATTATCATGACTTTACACTGACCTGCAGCGTCTACACCTCTTCTGTCCTGCTTCATGCTGAACCAGAGCCTCCATCCTCAGTGTTTGACCCTGCTCTCCTCTCACTCCTGAACTGCATTTTTTTTTTAAGTTTAGTTTATTTCATTTATTTAAGAGGGACAATGCACAACAGAAGTGTTAGCTATAAAGCTAATTTGCATCTGCAGTCCCTGGGCAGGATGTTGTTACAAAATTACAATATTCAGTCACAAACAATACAATACATACAACACACACAATATCACATCACACTCCATAAAATTCAAAAGTCAGGTCAATGATCACATATTTGATTTTCCTTAAGCCATACTTTAAGTGTAGTTTTAAAAATACTAAATGTTGTACACTCTCTAATATAAACCGGTATTAATTTCCATCTTTCTGCTGCTCTAACTGCAAAAGCTGATTGTCCAAAAACAGGTTTCTTATATTTAGTCGAACAATCCCCTCTAACTGATGACCTAGTCTGCCTAATATTGTCCTAACAGAAAGTCACACCTTGTTTAAGAGTTGGTGGTGCAAGATCATGAAGTAGTTTATACATCAAACACACATCAGCAAAAAAATAAAATTGTCAAACCCTCAATAATTTATCATTTTTAATAATATTGCAATATTTTTTGCTAAAGTTTTCACAGCTTGTTTATAAATAGTATATAATGGTTTTAATGTACTTATACTTGTGTGGGACCAACTTGTAGCACAATAAGATAAATGAGAGCGAGTCATTGTATGCATAAAGAGCTTAGCAGCAGCCACAGGTAATAGGTGCCTAAAATTCCTGAAGATCATCAAGCTCGCTCTAGCACATTTAGAGATCTTTTTAATAAGATGTTTTAAATTTAAATTAGAATCCATGATCATACCCAAATGTTTAAAATGCTCAACAATATTTATTACCTCTCCTTTGACTAAAATATCTGGACCCTCAGATATTGATTGTGATGAACTCTCTAACCCGTGTGCGGCTCTGTGTCCCGCAGGCAGCTGTACGCCGCAGAGCCGTCCTGTGGGCTGCAGGACAGAGGACGGGACAAGCTGAAGGACGGAGGTCTGCAGCCCAACATGTCTAAAGAGGAGTACATGAAGATGAAGCTGCCTGAAAGCCCTCCTGGAGAGAGTGGCCACAGGAAGGTACGTGTGCGCTCATGCAGAGTAGTTATATTACACATACTATAGTACATACTGAGGTCATCTTCACTAAATACAGATACTGTAGACATGCCAACAATGTTTGCACTTTTTTGGTAAGTGCTTTTAGACAAGGTACTATGGTAATACCATGTGGACATGATATTGTGCTAATACCATGTTTTTGTGACATTTACCATGATAATCATGTTTCTTACTTACTGTAATAATATATATATATATATATTTATACGTGGTAATACACTGAGGGCTTTTGGCATGTACCATGGTAATACCATGTTTTGTTTTTGTTTTGAAAATGGATCATGGTAATACCGTATTTTTTTAGATATTTACTTTGATAGTACTGTTTTTTGGCATGTACCATGGTAATACCATGTTTTGTTTTGTTTTTGGGGAGGGGGGTCAATGTGTACCATGGTAATACCATGTTTTTGGAGATGTATGATGGTCAAACTGTTTTTTAGAAACAAACAAAAAAAAAGATATATAGTAGATGTATGTATATGTATAGATGTGTATCTTAATAGTACTATGCATACCATAGTAACACCATATGTTTTGGTATATGTTTTTACACATAGTGATACAATGTGCTTTAGACATGATGCCATGGTAATACCATGTTTTTTAGACAATTACCATGATAATACCGTAATGTTATGTACTTTGGTTTTTCCAATTACCATGAACATTTTCTATGGCAATATGACGAAAAGTGCCTTGGTATTAGCGTGTGTTTTATGATTATTTATGACATTTATCATTGTAATACCATTTTATATGAACATATACTGTGGTAATACAAAGTCTTTTGGCATGTACCATGGTAATACCATGTTTTGTTTTGTTTTTGGGGAGGGGGGTCAATGTGTACCATGGTAATACCATGTTTTTGGAGATGTATGATGGTCAAACTGTTTTTTAGAAACAAACAAAAAAAAAGATATATAGTAGATGTATGTATATGTATAGATGTGTATCTTAATAGTACTATGCATACCATAGTAACACCATATGTTTTGGTATATGTTTTTACACATAGTAATACAATGTGCTTTAGACATGATGCCATGGTAATACCATGTTTTTTAGACAATTACCATGATAATACCGTAATGTTATGTACTTTGGTTTTTCCAATTACCATGAACATTTTCTATGGCAATATGTTTTTTTTTTGTTTTGTTTTTTGAGAATGGACCATAGTCATTCGTATAATAGTAGTAATATGTTTTTTGGAGACATACGATGGTAAAACCGTTTTTAAGACAATTACCATGGTAATACCATAGTGTTTTAGATAAGTACCTTGATAGTGCTATGTTTTGCACATTTTCCATGGTAATACCATTTTGTTTTGTTTTTTGGGAATTGACCATGATAATACCATGTTTTCTGGAGATACACAGTGGTAAAACTATGTTTTTTAAGGCATGTACCATAGTATTTTAGATATGTACCTTGACAATACTGTGTTTTTGAACATTTAGCATGGTAATAACATGTTTGTCATACCATAGTAATTCTTAAATGTAGTTTTTACTTTAATACCATAGTTCAAAGGTAATACTTTTTATACAGTTTTTTTAACATCTACCATAGTAATACCATGTTTTTAAAGTACAGCATCATTTTAGACATTTACAATAGTAATATTTTTTGACAATTATTTGCAGTGTGTATCATGGTAATACTGTTTTTAAAATGCAATGTTTTTTTATTTTTTTTTTTTATTTACCGTGGTAATACCATGTTTTTTTGTCATGGTTCACTGTGGTATACTGTGTTTTTTAAAAGACATTTACTATAGTAATACCATGTTTTTAATGCATAGCATCATAAAATAATGTTAGTACATTTTTTGACATAGTAATAGTACCATAGCAATTTTTTAGTTTAATACCATGGTTTTAAAGAAATACTTTAATTTTGCTGTTTTAAAAAAATACTTCCAATGGTAATACCACATTGGCATATTGACGTTTCGTAGTAATAATGGTTTTTCTTGTAATTTTTCTCGAAACCATGGTTGTCTTGGTAGTATCATGTAAATACTATAGTATGTGAAGCTAGTAATTATTCAGCGCTGTGGTATTAATTGTACATGCACTTTCTGTTGTTAAACAATGCTTTTCCATTAGCTGAGATCAGTCTGTGAATGTGGTCTTCACTCTGTAGAGCTGATAACCTCTGCGTGTGACATGAACGAGGGCTGAACAGACGTGTGTGTTATCAGCCAGAGACACGATAACACGCGTCTGGGTTCGGCCAGATTCGGTTTGGCTGATCTCTCGCTGTGTCTGCTTTCTCGTCATGTTGTGGATTAACGGGAGGACGTTGTTGTTTCTCTGAAGTCTCCTCTGCTCCTGGAGACCGTCTTAATTGCGTTTGGAGTTCCCGCGTCTCTCCCACCACCAGTTATCTGCCGGGAAGGGCCAGAGTAGATGCACAGTGCCCTATTTTTAGCGGTCTGTGTGGCATTGCCGTGCCCTCAGAGGCAGACGGGTCACTGTGCTCTCAGGGGGAGGTGAGGCGCTTCAGACCGTACCGTCCAGCAGAGCTGACAGCATGATATCGTAAACCTTACACCTCAGGCGCTGACCGCCATCTGTGCTTACTGTCTGAGCATCTGCACTTCTCTAACATCTCTCTTTTTCCAGGCAGTTGCTAGGGTGTTGCTAAGGTGGTTTCTTACTGGCCCCCTGAAAGTCTCTGATATTCTAAAGTCCGGTCTCTCATTTAATGCTTTTTTATTGTTTTTATTTGTCCTGCAATATGATAAATTCATTTTTAAAAATGCAAATATATTCCATGTAGCCTCTGAATTGATAGTTGTCATAACTACATACATAATGATTATTAATAATTATAAATGTTAATATAAATATTATAAATGAATATTGTTTTATTTGAATTAATAATAATTAATCAAATTCTAAAAATGTGCAATTACAATAATTAATTTGAAAATAAAAACAATCAAAATAAAATGCTTAGTAAAAAAAGATGAAATATTTTGTTTACCTGCATGCTGTGTCATTGTTAACTGATATTTTAGTATTTTTAATATTCCATTATATTTTTATTTTTAAATATTTTTAAAACAATAGTTTTTTTTATTTACAATATTACTCTTTTAAATTAGCTTTTATTTTTATATTTTAATTTTATGATTTTGTTGTGTGTTTTTACCAATTCTATTAGTTTCTATTTTATAATTGCTATTTAGGTTTAATTTATTTTAATTTTAGTTTTCAGTTTGATTTATTTCCAAAAATTAATTAAAATGATTTCAGTTAGCTGCCAAGTCAACATTTCTAATTATTGCTTAGTTGAAATTGTTCTGCTTATTTTTATATTTTATTTCATTTTAGTTCATTTTTATTTCAATTATAATACATTTTGTTTTAGTTAACGATAAAAATCCTGCCGTGAACATGCAAATGTGTTATTCTTCAAGTAAATATTTTAGGTCAAAGGGATTCAACTGCATTGCTATACACCATTCAGTAGCATTTCTCTACAAAAAAAAAAAATGTATATATATATATTATTTTTTTTAAACATGTTTTATATGTTAGAACATATTAGAATGTTTCATTATGTAATATAACATTAGTTAGTTTATTTTGCACATAGAAAATCAACTGTCTCTGGGCCATCACAGATTTTGTCAGACGCACCAGAGGAGGTTTCTTGTTTTAAAGGCCACACAGCCCCTCAGAGACAGACCAGCCATCGTGGAGCGCGAGCCGTAATGGAAAACACTGTCAATCTGGCTTTTCTTTCTCAGTGGAAATTCCAGCCTGAGAGCAGGAGAGGTGAGCGGTAAACCCGCTGTAGAGGAGCAGATCACGGATACAGGGAAGGTGGCGGCTCGGTTTTTTCAGAGGAAATGGAAACATGACAGCGGTCTGAGTCTGGTCTGAACAGATTCATATTTTCAATACTTTCATGATTCGGTCCTATGGTTTTATTTGAACTGGGAGAGGTGATTCAGATGATAAAACTAGTGAAAAAAGACCCTCACTATTTAGGATCTTTATTCTGTTGTTCTTGTTGATTGTGCATCTCTGAAGTGTTGTTTTTCTCTGGTTAAAGAGGGTCTCACTAATATATACATTAACAGTCAAAAGTTTAAAAAAGTTTTTTTTTTGTTTTTGAAGTCTCTTCTGCTCGCCAAGACTGCATTTTTTAAACAGAATTACAGTAAATATTGGGAAATATTGTTACAATTTTAAAATAACCGTTTCAATTTGAATAATATATATTTTAAAATGTAATTTAAAATGTTCACAGCAGGGTTATTATTGTTAACTAAAAGAAAACGATTGAAAACATTTTGGTTAATTGAAATAATCTAAAATAAAATATTAATATTCGATGGAAAAATGTTGACTTGGCAATTAACTGAAATAAGTTTAGTTTGAAGGACTAGAATTACCAACTGGTATGTAATGGAAATAAATAAACTAAAACTGAAATGGAAATAAATAAATTAAAAATTAAAAAACATAAGATGGAAACCTGAAATTTAAAAATAAAAGCTATAACTAGATCTATAATAGTATATAAATAATTCTAAAATAACACTGGTTCATTAATGACCACACAACATGCAGATAAATAAATAAAATATTTTTTAAAATATAAATTAAAAAATATTTTTTAAATACTTTTTGTAATTGTTCATTTTAGGATATAATTATTATTTTTTGTATTTATCAATATTAAAATTTGTATAATATTTATATTAATATGTATACTTGTTTATAATTATTTATATTAATTGAGAGGAATATTTGCACTTTTAAAAATACATTTATCACAATGCAGGACTATTTTTAATCTTGCAGTAATAATAATAGCAAAAAAAAGTATTATTATTTATTTTTAATTTTTTTTAAGCATTAAATGAGGAACCCAAGAAACCAGAGACCCGGATATCAGATAATTTGCCAGAATATCAAAAGCATTTAAACAAAAATCCAAATTTTTGACTAGTAATGTATTCTGGTAACACCATTTGCCAGATGAGTTACAACAGTGAGTTGTGTCATATCTCAGACTGCCTTTATTTGCAGTGACATTACACATGAGCCGTACTAAAGCCTGCTCTAGTTTTATTTTTATGGCGAGAGGACCAGACCAGATCTAGTCTTATAAAGTTGCGTGTGTGCAAGAGGCCAGAGAGAGAGAGCTCATTGAGGCTGGTTCATGGTTAACTGATGGGATTTGAGTGGGATCCTGGTCTAAAGGAAGTGAAAACAGAGGGTGGCTTTGAGCCCGGAGGCGTTTAGCTCTGCTGAATCCCGTGTGCCATGACGTCTGCTTTCCCTGCAGTGATGCCAATTCAGCAAACTGACGTTTTTGATCAAGTTTCAAATAGTGGAAGACGTATTGTGTGCTATAAATAAAATGAACAGTATCAAGCAGCTCCGCCTGGGAATGAACCAGCTGGCTCACGCTCTGAATGGAAAACATATACAATGTATCTAAATAGCTTTGGCACAATTTAGCTCATGGGTATGGGTATGTTTAACGTTGTCCTCATGCCCTTTGAGAGATATTTTTGATATATGAGACTATAAGTCTGTCCAAAACCTAGTGAGCTCCTTATCTAGGCGCCAACTTAAGGCAGTATGTAATTAAGATTTTTAAATGTTTTAAAACAAGTCTCTTATGCTCACCAAGGGTGTGTTTATTTGTTAAAAAATACAGTAAAATTGTGAAATATTATTTCAATTTAAAATAAATAGTTTTGTATGGGAATATATGTTCAATTGTAATTTATTGCTATGATCAAAGCTGAATTTTCAGCATCATTACTCCAGTCTTCAGTGTCACATGATCCTTCAGAAATCATTCTAATATGCTGATTTGCTGCTCGAGAAACATTTCTGATTATCAATTTTAAAAAACATTTGTGCGACTTCATATTTATGTGGAAACTGATGCATTTTATTTTTCAAGATTCTTCGATGAATGAAGTTCAACAGCATTTATTTGAAATAGGAATCTTTAATAACATTATGAATGCCTTTACTGTAACTTTTGATCAATTTAATGTATATTTGCTAGATAAACATTTATTTCTTTAAAAAACATAGACTGCAAACTTTTTTCGTCTGTGTATATTGTTTTGCAAAAATAATAGATTTTTTTTTTTTTTACTTTTTTGTTATATATTTTAATGCTTTTAGAATACCATGTTTGTTTAGTAACATGCTAAGGCCATGTGAAAAGTTGTATTTGTATTGTAATAAACAATTACAATTTATACAAAAATACAATTTATTTTATCACAAGCGGAAGAACAGCAACACGCTCTCTCTGTTCCTCAGCAGTGCAGATAAAGAGCATTTATAACATCCTGCTGTTTAACGACACAAGAGAGTGAGGATATCCATTCATTCAGTCCAAAACAAACCTACTAACCTCGTCCTGCTAGGAAAGATAGGAAAACACTGGCATTATTCTGGGACTTTGATTGCACATTTATGTCTATGTGTTTGATTAGCAATCAAATAAATTTAAATGTTGATTTTCTGGTGTTAAATCCATTATCTGTGATTGACGTTGTGTGTTTCCTGTCAGGCATCTGCGACGGGCAGCCTGTCCCCGCGGCGGTCGCTGTACCGGACTCTCTCGGACGAGAGCGTGTGCAGTAACAGGAAGGGCTCGTCCTATGCCAGCTCACGGAGCTCAATGCTGGATCAAGCCCTGCCCAACGACATCCTGTTCAGCAGCACTCCACCCTACCACTGCACCCTACCGCCCCGCATCAGCCTCAACCAGCCCGCATCCAACCTCAAGAGTGAGTCCATCCATCCGTCCATCCGTCCGTCCGTCTGTCATTCATTCTATCGTTCTGTCTATCTATCTGTATGTCGTTCTGTCATTCATTCTATCATTCTATCACTTCATCTGTATCTATCTATCTATCTATCTGTCTGTCTGTCTGTCTTGTCTGTCTGTCTGTCTTGTCTGTCTTGTCTGTCTGTCTGTCTGTTCGTTCAGATTGCACTTTGTATAATCACCATTTATGTCTATAGTTTTTCTGGCCAAGCACAAAGCTCATCCAATATACTGAATGAAGTGGGAATACAGTGGGAAATTATTTATTTCTTTAAAAAAATTCTACTAACCCCGAACAGTAGCATAGTTTAAGTCTTTAAATTCTTTCACCGTAGCTCTCAACATCTAACTCATCACTTAGCAGTTGTTTAGTGAGAGGCGAGAGATTCTCTTGCATCACTGATGTCAGACTTCACACAGCAAGTCTGAGCATGCGCAGATATGAGATTTCACAGATGCATTAATGGACAGATTCAGATCTTGACATCAATTGCTCACTGTATTACTTCTTTTGTGTTGAAGAAAAACCATATAGGTTTGAAACGGCATGCTGGAGAGTAAATGCTGTCAGAGTTTTGTCCATATGAAGAGCAGCATGCATTAGCAGCAGCAGCTGTCGTCTGTAAACGCTCTCGTCACATTCAGTGCGTTTCAGCCTCATGCAGTCAGACAGACAGGAGGATTTCTGTCCAGAGAGGCACTTACACCTCCATCAGGAACGTGTGTGACACACAACACAGCATGACTCCTTTTATATGGCGTCTTTAATTAAAAATCAAGAAGAAGAAAATGTCATGGCTAAAGTGCACAGAGAAGACAGCTGTCACAGCCACTTCCCTGTTTTTACAGCATTGCCACACTTACAGTCAGGTCCATATATATATATATGGACACAGGCGCAATTTTTATTATTTTAGCTGCTGACCAAAACATATTCAGGTTACAGTTATATAATGAATATGGGCTTAAAGTGCACACGCTGAGCTTTAATTTGAGGATATTCTCATCACAATTGGAGGAAAGGTTAAGGAATTACAGCTCTTTAATATGTACCTCCCCACTTTTTCAAGGGACCATAAGCAATTGGACAGTTGACTCAAACACTGTTTCATGGACAGATGTGGGCTATTCCTTCGTTATTTCTACATCAGTTAAGCAGGTAAAAGGTCTGGAGTTGATTCTAAGAGTGCCATTTGCATTTGGAAGAACTCTGAACCCACATCATGCAGTCAAAGGAGCTCTCCATACAAGTGAAACAGACGATTATTAGGCTTCACAAACAAAACAGATCCATCAGAGAGATAGCAGGAACATTAGGAGCGGACAAATCTTTTTTTCTTTTTTTTTGATAAAAATACTTTGTATCTTCATTTTAAATAGCATTGTTATTTAAAATTTAACAGGCCTGTTTTTTCCAAATGTTTTACATGAAAAGTGTGTTTGTGCTATTATTATTTAATGAACGATGTTTAGGTTGATATTTTGTGGTCTAATGCAATAGTATTTATTTTTGTTATTTATCTAATGCAATAGCATTTATTATTGTTATTTATGATGATGATGTTTCATTTGTTATATTTTATTATATAAAATATATTCATATTTTTCTATTGTATTTATATAAATGTAATATTAATTACATGTTTCATTTTTATATAATTGTATTCATTAATTATTGTATTATTATTATCACTTTTTAATAATAATAGTAGGAAACAATAACAATAATATAAATATTACAATTCATTTTAATTACAATAACACATTTTTAGCAGATTAAGTGTGGTTTAAGTCTCCAAATATGGTTTGGGTGCACAGTATGAACCCTAATTTAAGATCTTCACCTGTCACCGGTTGTCTGTAGTGGGGTAAACCTTCTCTAGATGTGCTGCAAGTGACACATGAAATATGTGACTCATAAAGGCACAACTATCACAAACAATCATATCTCATTTGGTTTAAAGGATGTGTAATATGAACACATTTAGCAGTTTTAATCCGAGTGTGAGCGCTGATTCATTTATAGCTGGTTTTTCGAGTGGCCCGAGGAGGCTGATTGCTGTCACGCGTGATACATTTCTGATTGTTTCGACAGATAGCAGTTTGCTGATTTTTTTCCTCACCCTGCTCATCTAGTGAACGCTCTAATTTGACAGATTGTGTCCCTCTGAGGCTCAGACAGAGAGAGAGAGAGGCACGTTTACCTCCAGTGCTTTCCCTCACATCATGCTCAGAGCCAGTTCTTTGTGAGATGGAAATGTTTATGTCATATCCTGTCTATCAGGCGAGAGAGAAATGCACAATGAGAGGTTTGGACGCACGCAATTGATTGAAAAATGAGGCCATGTATAGGAGCTCAGCGTTTAGACTTCATCTGCTGACGGGACGGCTGTCCAACATCGTGCTGCTGCTTAAAATGACTTATTTCACAGGAAAGCATGTAAGCATTATATTTTGTTGAAATATTTGTCCACTCCTAATGTTCCTGCTATCTCTCTGATGGATCTGTTTTGTTTTTGAAGCCTAATAATCGTCTGTTTCACTTGTATGGAGAGCTCCTTTGACTGCATGATGTGGGTTCAGAGTTCTTCCAAATGCAAATGGCACTCTTAGAATCAACTCCAGACCTTTAACCTGCTTAACTGATGTAGAAATAACGAAGGAATAGCCCACATCTGTCCATGAAACAGCGTTTGAGTCAACTGTCCAATTGCTTATGGTCCCTTGAAAAAGTGGGGAGGTACATATTAAAGAGCTGTAATTCCTTAACCTTTCCTCCAATTGTGATGAGAATATCCTCAAATTAAAGCTCAGCGTGTGCACTTTAAGCCCATATTCATTATATAACTGTAACTTGAATATGTTTTGGTCAGCAGCTAAAATAATAGAAATTGTGCCTGTGTCCAAATATGTATGGACCTTACTGTATATTACTAATAATATAATGTTACTAATAATATGAGATCTAATAGATATTTAGAAAAATGATAGATAATATAAAACATATATATTATTATAAATATACTATGTCCTATAATTTTATCTAATAATAATAATGTAATAATTGTGTTCATAACAATATAAATTATTATAATATGTGCAATAATTAAGTACATAGTAAAACATAATTTTCTAAACGTAAAGTTTAAATATGTGCATTTATGTATATATTCATAAAAAATGTGGGGTACCAAAGACGGCAGGTGAGCGATTTAACCGCTCTTTGTCCCACTGCCTTCATTACAGAGACCTCCTGACCTCCCGACAGATGGACTGAATTGAGCTCTATCTGTGTTTCTGCTGGTCTGCTGTCTGTAGAAACCCAGGGGAAGCTCAGCGGTGGATTGACGGTGGATTGGTGTCACTGATCTGTCTCTCTGTGTCTCTCTTCAGATGAGTTCTGGTTCTCTGACGGCTCGCTGGCCGACCGCTTGAAGTTCAGCGACCCGGGTCTCATGCCTCTGCCAGACACCGCCACGGGCCTGGACTGGTCTCACCTCGTCGACGCCGCCAGAGCCTTTGAAGGTGTGTGCAGAAGAGCTGAAATACAGCATAACCTTTAGGCCTGAATGCAAGATTTGTGTATTGTGTTATTTGAATTGCACAAAAAAATTCCAGTGCATTTGGATGACATAGTTTGAACATAAACTAATAAACTTAATGTGATGCATATTCTTCAGTCATGTATAAATGAAACAAATCAGATTGCTGTAATTTTTGAATAATGCATTTCAAATACGATTGAAATAAAATCAAACAGATACAAATAGTTAATGACACTTTGTTTGATATTTGATATTTTGAGGTCTAATTCAATATTATTATTATTTATTGTTATTATGATTAAAATGAATAATAACAATAATGATAACAAGTAGTAGTCGTATGTGATTATTATGAATTATAATAATTATTTATCATATATTTCTGTTGTTATATGTGTTATATAAAATATAGTTATATTTGCAGATATTAATTTTGTGCGTATGTGTATATATATGTGTGTGTGTGTGTATATATATATTTATATATACATGCGTGTATATATATATATATATATATATATATATATATTTATATATTTATTTATTTATATATTTATGTTACAACTGTGTAATCCAAATAGATGGAAATTTTATATGCAAGTTACATACATAAATCTTATAATTGTTATTGATTAGTTTTTAACAGTGATGATATTTATGTTGATCTGAAGCATATAGGTGCAAATAATTAATGACACTTGGTATGATATTTTGCCTTCTAATGCAATAATGTTAATATTGTTTATTGATATTGTTATTATTATTATTATTATTATTGCTATTATTAATTATAATAATTATATGTAATGTATATTTGTTTTTTGTATTTATATACATACATTGATATTTTATTTATGTATATAAATGCACAATAGCAAGGTTTATATATTTATCATCAAATTGTTTTCAGTCTCATGCATTGTAATTAATTTAACATTGCTTGTTTCACAGCTAGCCGTATTTTAACCATGTTCATACTTTTTATAAATGTAATAGTTTTCACAATGAACATATTTTAATAGATGCATTGATGAATGTAGATGTAAATGCAATGAAAATAGCAACCTGGTTATTGTGTTTTTAAAACACATTGAGTTTATTATAATCCATATTATAAATCTTGCCTGTTTGTTTACCCGTTTCATTTATGTATGAAGTTTATTAGATCTTTATGTTACAACTGTGTAATCCAAATAGATGGAAATTTTATATGCAAGTTACATACATAAATCTTATAATTGTTATTGATTAGTTTTTAACAGTGATGATATTTATGTTGATCTGAAGCATATAGGTGCAAATAATTAATGACACTTGGTATGATATTTTGCCTTCTAATGCAATAATGTTAATATTGTTTATTGATATTGTTATTATTATTATTATTATTATTGCTATTATTAATTATAATAATTATATGTAATGTATATTTGTTTTTTGTATTTATATACATACATTGATATTTTATTTATGTATATAAATGCACAATAGCAAGGTTTATATATTTATCATCAAATTGTTTTCAGTCTCATGCATTGTAATTAATTTAACATTGCTTGTTTCACAGCTAGCCGTATTTTAACCATGTTCATACTTTTTATAAATGTAATAGTTTTCACAATGAACATATTTTAATAGATGCATTGATGAATGTAGATGTAAATGCAATGAAAATAGCAACCTGGTTATTGTGTTTTTAAAACACATTGAGTTTATTATAATCCATATTATAAATCTTGCCTGTTTGTTTACCCGTTTCATTTATGTATGAAGTTTATTAGTTATTTATGTTACAACTGTGTAATCCAAATAGATGGAAATTTTATATGCAAGTTACATACATAAATCTTAAATTCAGGTCTTAATATCTGAGTGCAGATACTCTGAATTAGCCGAGCGCTGCCACCTGCAATTAAACACTCAGCCGGCATGCTGGGTAATTGCTGTTCGTCCCGCCCTCGGTCATTTGCATGTGAGCACACGCAGCTCTGATGATGTCTGTCCCGCACTCGTCCTCTTGTCTGCTCCTGTCCTTCTCTAAACGGAGTAGTAAGAAGGCCATCATTATTTTGTTAATGGCTTCAGTCTTCATTCAATCATTTAAGCTTTGTTTTTCACTGCTATAGTGGAGGACACAGCCTCGAGCTGATGTTTGTGAGCAGCATTAGTGGTTGTTTTTTTAAATGTTATTCTCATATCAACTTGTGGAAAATGGGCATCCGATGACCCCTTTAAGGTGTTTGATGCTCTAGATTTTTTCTCAAGAGAATCAATTTCATGAGATTAATGCATAAATGGATTGTTTTAAACCTAAATACTGTTATCATTAGGGTTGGGTACCGAAACCGGTACCAATATGGCACCGGTACCTATGTAACCGGTATGTACTAGAACCGAATCAGAACGCAGATTTCGGTGCCATGCCTGAGCGATCGATTGGAATATTTGTCCTCTGGTTCTCCGAAACGGATGTAAGAAGCATCATCACTGGCACCACACGTGAAAAATAATTTCCCGACTGAGAAAAAGCACGTGAACTCAAGTCGGAAAGCTCTAATAATACAAATCCAACACATCTTTGTAGTAACGAGAGTGTGCATGTTGTTTTCACATTCTGACTTAAAAGTACAACTCGGGAAATGAGAACATCCGAGGAGCGCGTGAATGCAGTAATTACACTTGCTCTGATGGCTGCAGGTAGCCTTGCGTTAACTAAGCTAAACATGCTTAAATTAAAATGCCTAAAGCTAAACCTCCCTTGTATTCACAACTTGTTGTCCAACAAAAAAGAATATTAGAACCTTTTTACTCCACAACAGCAGTCAAATGCTTCCTTTTGTGATCTGATGTGGCTTCTTGTCACAGAATAAAAAGTTTTAAATACGTTAAATGGTATAAGAAATGTCTTAATTATAATTTCAAGAGGTCTTGCAGTTGGGGACGAAAAGACAAGAGTTACGATACGGCTGGATTAAACTTCAAAAGGCAATGATGTCATTGAATAAATATGAGCGCTGCACGTTTCACATCAAAAACATAATGCGGCGCGGATGTCTTTAAACCGACTGTCCTCTGAAACGTGTCGTTGGCATTTTAATTTCATTTGACCTATAATTCCTGATAAAGCAGCGTTTATGAGCGCGGAGCTGCTTTGTGTACAGCCGTTACTGGGGAAAACGCAATATTTCAGCGCTCCTAAAGCGCCACCTCGTGGCAGAGAATGAATTAACATTTCCAACAAACCTTTCTTGCTGTTTATGGTCAGATCAATGCAAATATCAACTCATGATTTTACGCAGCAAACACATAGAGTTGTAAATGAGAAAGAAGTTAATGTGCCTTCTAAAAATCTAAACAATTAAAACAATTAAATTTACAATTTATATACTTGATTTATCCCCTTTCATAAAAATGGTCTAAAGGCTGAAATGCTGTTGTATAAGATTTGTTTTTGTGAAAATGAACTGCATCCTTGAGCTGTCATCAGTCCGCCATTGTTTCACCGCTGGAGCAGATGTAGACAAGAATGACTCCTAAGCGATTGAGCTGTTCTGTTGTTGGATGTAATAATGAACATAGCATCTGAGCCGCTGAAGACAGTGGATTACGTTTGTTTTTGAAGGGAATGTGGCCTCGATCTTCCTAAATGCGTCTGTTCGCGTGAATCATTCGTGATCCAGCTTCACCTACAGAAGAAGTGAGTATAAGGTTGTTTAATGAATCTTTGCAAATCGCCTTTCCCAATAATGTGCTAATTAGCAAGTTTTACGATGAATGCGCTAAAGTAAACAGTCCCTCAGAGAGCGGCTCGGGAGAGAGGGGCGGCAGAGCTCAATAACATTTAAAGGAAATGCTACAAAACGGCTTGATCTGAAAAGAGCTGTTTTTGACAGGGTAAAAAAGGTGTTTTTACTCTACCATTGAGAAATTTTAACCAAACTATGTTACAGACTTTTCATTAAGACCCTAAAGAATCATATCAACTTGTGGAAAATGGGCATCCGATGACCCCTTTAAGGTGTTTGATGCTCTAGATTTTTTCTCAAGAGAATCAATTTCATGAGATTAATGCATAAATGGATTGTTTTAAACCTAAATACTGTTATCATTAGGGTTGGGTACCGAAACCGGTACCAATATGGCACCGGTACCTATGTAACCGGTATGTACTAGAACCGAATCAGAACGCAGATTTCGGTGCCATGCCTGAGCGATCGATTGGAATATTTGTCCTCTGGTTCTCCGAAACGGATGTAAGAAGCATCATCACTGGCACCACACGTGAAAAATAATTTCCCGACTGAGAAAAAGCACGTGAACTCAAGTCGGAAAGCTCTAATAATACAAATCCAACACATCTTTGTAGTAACGAGAGTGTGCATGTTGTTTTCACATTCTGACTTAAAAGTACAACTCGGGAAATGAGAACATCCGAGGAGCGCGTGAATGCAGTAATTACACTTGCTCTGATGGCTGCAGGTAGCCTTGCGTTAACTAAGCTAAACATGCTTAAATTAAAATGCCTAAAGCTAAACCTCCCTTGTATTCACAACTTGTTGTCCAGAATATTAGAATATTAGAACCTTTTTACTCCACAACAGCAGTCAAATGCTTCCTTTTGTGATCTGATGTGGCTTCTTGTCAAAAGTTTTAAAGTTTTAAATACGTTAAATGGTATAAGAAATGTCTTAATTATAATTTCAAGAGGTCTTGCAGTTGGGGACGAAAAGACAAGAGTTACGATACGGCTGGATTAAACTTCAAAAGGCAATGATGTCATTGAATAAATATGAGCGCTGCACGTTTCACATCAAAAACATAATGCGGCGCGGATGTCTTTAAACCGACTGTCCTCTGAAACGTGTCGTTGGCATTTTAATTTCATTTGACCTATAATTCCTGATAAAGCAGCGTTTATGAGCGCGGAGCTGCTTTGTGTACAGCCGTTACTGGGGAAAACGCAATATTTCAGCGCTCCTA